GGTTGATAGTGTAAGGTGCTGCAGGTAGTGTTTACAACGGTAACGAAATCAATTAGTTAAATAGTTAGGTGCTTCAGAGAAAGCACAGTGCATATAGTAAGTGCAATGTATTAGTGTACTTATAGCAAAGGTATAGTTTGGGCTAGAGAAAAATAATAAATGAGATGAGAAAAAATAAACACTTTGGTGTGATAATAATTGTACATTGTTAAATTATTTAGTTTATACACTAAGTTAAGAGGGTATATTGGTTTTTGTATAGTCTTTTTTATGCACACCATTTTCATTGTACGTACAAGTGTGGTAAATCTTAAATCAGGATTCTGTTTTTATACGGTTTAAGAGTTAGAGTTCAGCAATGTTTTGATTATACAATTTTAGTTTTCTCTTCCGTACAAAAGTATGGTATATTTTAAACAAAGATTCTGTTAAAAATCATGGACGAATCATAGACTTTTATAAATTACTTTTCAAGTTCAGAGAAAGCTCAGCGTTGACAAAGTTATGGTAAATTTAATAAGAGGCTGCATATTAATCAGTATGCATTTTTTCTTATAAAATACGCTGTCGTGGCCAAGTTAAACAAAATTTCTCTTTTGCATACAAATTAAATCAATAATAAAGAGTGTAGATAAAGGTACCGAAAATTTAGTGTACAGCTTTTTTTTTTAAACTGCTGGGTGTATTCTTTTTTATGACGTCATTCATTTCGATCGAATAAGCTGGCACCTAGTAAATATTTATAATATACAATAAATATATAATAAACTTAGAACTTTGATAGCTTGGTAGTTAGCGTGCAAGTCTCCTAGTTAAAAAAACTTAAGTGATCAAGAGTTCAAATTTTAATAAAAAATATTGAGGTTTTTTTGGGCCTTTTTTGATCAGAAATGTAACTTGGATCATAAAAAAGTACTTGTATCATTTTTATGAGAAGCAGATAATTTTTCGAGATAGTATCTAGACGTCGAAAGGCTTTATTTCTGAGGAAAACCAAAAACTAACAATTCTATAAGTGAAATCACTGTCAGTTTTGAAAATGCTAGTACAGCGAGTAAGGTGGTTATCGTTTTAGGTTTTTTTAATTACACTTGATCAGCAGTAGAACGATTGCTGTCCCCTGCAAATAGGATCCGATGTGATAGATAATTGAATCTTGTGTACGTAATTTTTAACCAGGTAATAAATCGTTTGTGCGTTCGTAAACTAAAATTTTACTTATTAAAATTATTACAACCGGCTGCTGCTATTTAATTTTTTTTTTACTCTGTTTCTAAATCAAATTACTTTTTTAAGTGCAACTTCTTACGTTGGGCCGTAAACAGCCGCATGAGGGAAAATGCATTACGAAAAAACGTAGCCACCCACCCTGCAGCCCAAACTCTTTCCTCAATCTCCTCTCTTATAAACACTTCCTTCCGCTTCGTCTCTCTCTTTTGCAGCACGCGCCACTTTACTAGTCTACTGTCTACCGATTCGTCTCTCTTTCTCTCGCACGTACGCTGTTTGCTCCCTTCCCCTCACGCTGGTACTAGACCTATATATATAAAAAGTGACACGTTGAAGTTTAACAGCCTACTGCAAATTAAGTAAGACATGAAAATATAATAAATCATTGATTCTAGAGTAATTCAAGGGTGCTCTTTTTGACTAAAAAAAAAATTACTGGAAGCCTTGTTTCAAAAATAAAAAAATTATGTTTAAGAGTATGGACTGAATCATAAAGAAATTATTTTTATTACGTTTTTTGTCGAATTTTAAGACAAAATACACTTTAACATTTTTATTTATGTTAATGAACTTGAGCAAGTGATTTATTAAAAAAGCCCATTGTGCCCCACATATCGTATCATAATGACATAGTAGAGTCAGTCATAGCATAACCACATTTGCGATCAAACACGTACGCCATATCTTCGCCGTATTGTACACATGCTTAGTAATACGACAGTGCCACAGCATAGGGTGTAGGTATTCAAATCAACCAACTTAAGAAGTTCCCCTCAAATCAACTAGTAATAACTATACAACTCAATTTATATAGTAAAAATAAGGTACCTGCAGCCCAGGGTAGAGAGTTGTAAATGCAGTCTCCTGGAGTTGCAGGAAAACGACAGATATCTGTAGTTTCTGGGAAGTTTTTAGGGTAGCCGATTACGAATTCCACGTCAGCTAGCATCCCCTGGGTACCTGGAGCACAGGGTAGAGAGTATGAACACCGTATCCTGGAGTTGCTGAAAAACGACTGATATTGGTAGTTTCTCAGCGGGTTTTTAGGGTAGCTGATTACGAATACTACGTCAGCTAGCATCCCCCAGGTACCTGGAGTTCCGGGTAAAGAGCATGAACGCCGTCTCCCAATAGACTATAGGGTACCCGACAAGTACCCTCCAAGTGCCCGGCAAAGACCTGCTAAGTACCCGTCGAGTGCATGGGAAGTACCCGGCAAGTAACTGCCAAGTGCCCGCTAAGTGCCCGGCAACCACCCAGCAAGTGCCTAGCAAGGACCTGCTAAGTATCCGTCAATAGCTCATCAAGTGCCCGGGAAGTACCTGACAAGTACCCACCAAGTGCCCGCTAAGTGCCTGGCAAATACCTGTCAAGTGCACAGCAAGTACCCGCCAAGTGCCCAGCAAGTACTTGCTTAGTACCCGTCAAGTGCCTGCCAAGTACCTGGCAAATCTCTGCTAAGTTCCTAGCAAGTGTCCGGCAAATATCTGCCAAGTGCCCAGCAAGTGTCCGGCAAGTGTCCGCAGCGCTGTAGGTGAGCAAAGTTGGCGAACCCGTACCCCCATGAATCGTACAGTAAGCGTTGTCTTATATGAGAAAAGATATTATTTCATTTGAAGTAATTAGTTGAGGAATCGAAGGCGGAAAAAAAATGTGATTTAGCCAAACCGGGTCTATAATACGGATAAATAATTTTGCTAGGCAATTTAAATCGTCCAAAATTTTAAACAATGGGTTATTAAATATCATCTGTCATATAGCACACAACACACATGTAATGTTGTATACAAGTGAGAGCAAGTACTCTAAGCAGTCGACATAGGCTGCCGCTAGCTGTATAATCTGAATCAGTGTTTACGTTTACAAAGTAACGAAATACGTACGAGATAGTATCACATTTATGTATATGTTACCATAACCTACATTTGTCAAGCATAGGCAATAATTTACTTACAGATAATTCTACTTTGTATGGATTTACGCTGACAGATGTTTGGCTCACAACATAGCAATTGATCAGTTGACCGACTCCTTTATGTACATATTCCTGTACGTAGGCAACGTGCCCACTCTCTACTAATTTTTTAGCTTTTTTCAGCGTTTCATTATTAAAAACTATGTTGCAACTTATACTTTTAAAGCCTGTTTAGATAATCACATCCATTTTTTAGGGTGCTGATGTTTACGCGATAGCAGTATGTACGTCTTATTTAATAAATAATACTTTTTCCTATAAGTGACAGTGTTACGATTTAATCATACGGGGGTACGGTATTGCGCGATTCTGACACCGAGGGTGGCGCTGCGTGTCCTGCACGGAGCAAATACGGCGAAGATATCGCATACGTGTTTGGTCGCAAATGTGGTTATGCTACGACTGACTCTACTATGTCATTATGAAACGATATTTGGGGAATGATTACTCTTACAATAAATCACTTGCTAAAGTCTATTAACATAAATAAGAATGTTAAAGTGTATTTTGCCTTAAAATCCGAAAAACGTAATAAAAATAACCTCTTCATGATTCAGTCCACATTCTTATAGATTATTTTTTTATTTTTGAAGCAAGGCTTTCAATAATTTTTTTTTAGTCCCTTGAATTACTCTAGAATCAATTATCTATTATGTCTTTATGTCTAACTTAATTTACAGTAGGCTGTCCAACTAAAACATGTCACTTTTTATACATATACTACAGGTTTGCTATGTGCGTTTCTACGCTACGACTAAACACTGAACGGATGCGCCTGCTCAAGCTGAGGTATAGGTATGGAGAAAAGAGAAAAGAAGAGAAAAACAACAGCTGTACCTATACTAAAGGCAAAGTATACATATGTATTTTGTATACATGTATATGTGTCGCACGTCCTGGTCATTACATGCATGTTCATACGTATACATATATGTAAAAAAACGTGCATTAAGTATAAATATGTATAATATAAAAATCTTACCTTTAAAGACAACAAAATAGCTGCATGTCTATTATTTTCCTTAATGTTAATCAGAAAGAGTGGAGTATTCTACTTTTATGTTAGCCAAAATTTTTTTTAATATGTCGGATAAGTACAATGATTCTAATAGGAATTGATTCTACATATATGATATCGTATCAAATGCACGAATAAAAAATTCAAAATAAAAGGAATTTTTGTCCCGCGTAACTGAGCGAAAGTACCATTTTTCGGGTCAGTATAGTGAAAATTATTGTTTCGTTCTGCACACATGACACACAATTCGTACATATATTAATACATATATCATAACAAGTATGCAACTACTTAGAATTCGTGAATCACATGTAACCTAAGTATATGTATTTCATTCACGCGCTTGCTCAAATACGTACTAATAATAAAATTTGTACTATTTCAATATGGGAATCTTGAAGACCTACTGAAATTAGGTGTAATCTAATTTTCTCAGTTTGTATTATACCAAGTTTAATAAAATTTGAGTTGGAAGTTTCACTTCTGCCGGGGGTCCCGAGAACCACATCTGGTTTTCTTTATTATTTTTATTCTTCTTCGTCATAAATATACTTGATTTAAAAGTGGTAAACAAATTTTAGAATGTGAATTAAAGTGTTTTTAACTTGTCAATATAATGATACCATAAAATTAGTAAAATTCTTACCTGGCAGTCTAAATTGATTAATGCTTATAATTATACGAAAATAAGGTTTGGTATATTATTAAAAAAATTGTATTCTCATTTACATATTCTACTACCACGTATATAAAGTAAATCTTAACTTTTATTTACAGCTGTGCCAAAAAGCAGTATAAGTGGACTAGTAACTAGCAGTAGTACTTCTAACACTGTATCTGCGTCTGGAACAACCGGAAATATTCCTCCAGTGCTAAGCCATCAATATATTATGGGACAAAGTGTACCATATGCAACCTTTCAACAACCTCACATGTACAGTTATGAAGATCTTCAAATAATGCAACAGCGAATTCCTCACATGGTTTGTTATTCTTTTACCAAAATGTCTATATTTATTTATTTTCGACAGTCAGTATTCTTTGTATCTAAGAATATCGGTGTTATGTAATTTTTGAATAGTGAAAATTGTTTAGACCTAAAAAGACTAACTGCGTTGTAGAACCTTTCCAACAGTTAACTGTTTAATTATGATACTAAACGTGAAATTTATGATGCTTACAATGGTTGAAGATATTTAACTAATTTTTTTGCTTATAATGAAGCAGCTTACATTTACTTAGACAACTCGAGTTAAAAATCAAAGTCAATAGACATTTGGTAATATAATCCAACAATTAAAGCAGAATAAACTGCTTTATTCTTCAATCGTATGCAAGTATGATGCTGATGAACCTAAATAATGTCATTCAAAGTCTTGTTTATAGAAAATCACAAATCACTGAGTTTGTTTTCCTTGTCGTAATTGATTCGTTTCATTATTTACTTTGAGTTGTTTTTAATAATCATAGTTGCGAAATGTTTGTTTATAATAAGCATTTAAATTGTTTAATCTAACTCACTAACAGTAAGAATATTTAATAACTTACTTACGTTTAGTAAAAAATACAGTTAGTCCTTGAAACTCCAAAAACTATGCATATTTATATTGGTGCAGATACTTTGCTTTTTTTTGAGCTCATATAACAACTTCAAATAACAAATATCATTTTTAGTGACTAAATTATTTCGAGAAATATTTTATGTCGGTCTTAAATATTAAATTTTTTCCCGATACGTGTTACTCTTCTCTATTAATTAAAGTCAAATTATCAAATGTAGCAAAAAAACCCATTGTTTTGAATCTTAAATTTTATCAAAATATCTTCATGATCTTCAACTTTTGGCATTTTTTGGACTATCTACATTGAAAGATGAGACTTTTTAACGTAGATATTGACAGTAAAAACAAGGGATTTTTCGTTTTTACGTAGTATTTAAACGACGAACGAGATAGCGCGAGCCGCTGCGGCCGCACTGGCAGCGGGTAGGCCGCGCGCTATCTGCTACGGTTAGATTGGTCTTTTCAGCTATTTATGTTTTGGCGATGTAAACAATTGTTATTAAACGAGGGTTTGCAATGGATCAGTAATAAATTTTTTGATAAAATTTATTTATACACTTAAGAATTTTATAATAATAAATAAATAGTAATGAATGTCCACAAAATATTAAATATTTACATTTTTAATGTATTCATTAATAAAAACACTGATGTTTTACTTAGTTTTTGGCTTCTTTTTAGTTACACTCGTTTTACATCCTTTTAATTTTGAGAAGAGTTTATATTGATAACATAAAGACGTTCTCTTTAGCATTAATTTTTTATCCTTAATACGGAGAAACCTTCTTGCAATAGAAATATGTTGTTTTAGTTTTAAGGCAGTTTCTACACATTCACATTTGCTACTAAAAAAAAACTTTCGCTTCTTTACAGTTATTTTTTGCCCAGTTAAAAAGATCTTCTGCCGTTAAAATGTGATTGGCTGCAGAGAGTTGCAAACTCGTTCTTCTAGCGCCGCGTTTTATGTTCGATCCTATCCCATCACACGCTCCCTTCCCGTGAATGGTAGCGTGAAAATGCCACTCTGCTGGAATTCCGAAATTTTTCCAAACCGCCATGGTTAAGTATATTTGTTTACATCCAGTCAAAGAGATGGTAGCAGACAGCGCGCGGCGGACCCGCTGCCAGTGCGACCGCAGTGGCTTGCGCCGTCTCGTTCGTCGTTTAAACACTACGTAAAAGCGAAAAACCCCTCTTTTTTGTTGTCGATATCTACGTAAAAAAGTCTCATCTTTCGATGTAGATAGTCCAAAAAATGCCAAAAGTTTAAGATCATGAAGATATAACGTGTTTTCTAAACTTTTGCATTTTTCGAGGTTATAGAGGCAGAATTTCGAAAAACGGATGCCACTACTAGGAAGCTGAGGAAAAAATACGTTAGAGTATGTGTTTTAATAATTCTTTTATTAACGTTATGAGACCGAAACGACAAGTTAAAACTTCGTGTTTTACGCTTGTGCGGTCCATACGCAGTGGTGCACTTGACGTGATTGTCCCCTAATGTATATATACGTATGTACTCATACACACTAAACACATAGTATAATAACCATGCGCTGACTGTATATCAATATAAATCTTATAATATATAGGTAGAAAACTAAATTCGGTCACCAACTCTTTTTGACTCCCCTCATCCCTCCTCAAAATTTTTAATTTTTTCTTCAGCCTCTGCCTCCTTAAGTTAAGGCAAAAAACTTAAAATTTTTTAGTGTAATTTCAACTGAATTAAAAATTTCTTGCAAAATTAATGACGTCCCTCACATTGGGGTTGAGGAAACGGGAGTGAAGACGTCTTTATTACCCTCATCGTCAGTATGTTTGATCACTTTGCTAAGTGAGGTTGACAGAAACACTTATGTAGTAGTGACGAACCTTCTAACCTCGCTCGTTTGCGTAAGTTTATTGCCTCCCAAATCATCATGCTGAAGACATTAGAGTTGACGAAACGGAAGCTGATTCCCAGCTCCTAGTCTGATTCTAAGCCCGAACCAAAATCTTTGTCTGCGCATCAGAGCTCTACTGCTCCAGACGATTCGCCTGCTTCTGCGTGCTTTCTTTGCGGTAAATAAGAGATGAGTAGAGAGATGGATAACGCCAATGTTACGGGGTAAGGCAACTTTTTTCCACTGATCGGGGTGACTCGCCGTGGCCAGCCGTCGAACCGGGCAAACATTTTTCGAGAATGCGAGAGTCATATCGAAGAGCGTGCGCATACGAGGAGAGGAGTAGAAATGACTATATAGCTATATAGTTAAGCGCACAGTCAACGCAAGCGACGACAAGAGTCTTTCTCTCTACTTATATACTATAATCGAAAATACTTATAAATATATGCTATTCAATTGACTCATGTTTCAATGTTACCTATAACAATCTCATTAAATTAAATTATAGAAGTAAATACTCATAACTATACATACTATCTTTGGATTTAAACTTATTTCTTTTTCATTAGATTCCGTACTTTCAATACTTATTCTGAAATCCGCTAATATTTTGAAAGAAAATTTAGCTCAAACTTTTCTTTAAGCATGTCAGTTGAGCTGTAATCACAAGTTTATTATTTTTGTCATTATAATTGCTTTAATAGCAATAGGACAAGCTCTGGGGGTTATTAATTTAGTTATTTATAAACTGAACACACGCACGCACATGCACACATTGGCGTGCGCGCGCACACACACACGTATATATCGACGGCTCCTACGAAGAATCGTACTCCAGAGGTTCCTACGAAGAAACGTACTCCCCGAGCCTTTCAACGAAGAATAGCATACGTCGGTATATTCCAGCGAAGAATCGTACGCGCAGATATATTCCGACGAAGAATCGTACGCGCAAATATTTTCCGACGAAGAATCGTACGCGCAGATATTTTCCGACGAAGAATCGTACGCGCAGATATATTCCGACGAAGAATCGTACAGGCCACTTCTTTCCGACGAAGAATCGTACGCCCAGATATATTCCGACGAAGAATCGTACAGGCCACTTCTTTCCGACGAAGAATCGTACGCCCAGATATATTCCGACGAAGAATCGTACACGCAGATATATTTTGACGAAGAATCGTACAGGCCACTTCTTTCCGACGAAGAATCGTACGCGCACCTATATACTGACGAATAATCGTACAG